CCCGTTTTACATTTTACTTTCTCTTTCATGTTACACATTTATGACTGGTAAAAGTAGAACTTTTTTGCTAGAAAAATTATAGGGTCTTCTATTTCTTGACTGCAACCAACCTTAATGTCTTGTATAATGGCTATCAGATTAGTTAGTTGTCACAGTAGAACCATTTTTATGCAGACTATGACTTATATTCTACTGTTTCATTTTAGTTTACTATTAGTACCTACCACTGCATGCTGACCTCCAGTATAGATCTGCTATAAGAAAGCAGCTAATGTTTTATGAGCTTGTTGATTAGTTCACTGGAGCTTGACAAGGCTGAATTTTTCCTCGGGAGTGTCATAAATGCCGTTGTTAGCCAAGTAATGATCCTACTGAGAGAGAGAAATCTGCAGTTGATTCGAGATATTCCAGAAGAAATCAAGACACTAGCTGTATATGGCGATCAGGCAAGATTGCAACAGGTTTTGGCTGATTTTTTATTGAATATGGTGCATTATGCACCATCTACAGAAGGTTGGGTAGAGATTCACGTCCGTCCAATACTGAAGCAAATTTCTGATGGACTTATCATTGTTCATATAGAATTCAGGTGTGTTAGCCTCAATTTTAGACCATCTCAATTGTTTGTGGCCATATTAAAAAAGCAAGAAGAAAATGATATGTCTAAGAATATAAATCCTTTTTTCCATTTTGCTATTTTCCTTTTCATGGTTTATCATTTCTCTTGGCCTCCAAGATATACTTATTGATATTCTAGTATTTATCTTCATTCTCTTGTCTCTCATCTTCTGTCAAAGTCTTGTAAACTGTGGTCCAATTATGTTGAGGTTCTTGCATAGTTGGCAAAGAATTGTGGTGCCTGTTTATATTTGGTTGAAATTTGTTCAGCATTAGTTTAGAAAGTAACATCTACTTTTGCACATCCATGAGGAGCATGAAGAGCACTAGTTATGAACATTAGTCATCTGTAATAATTAAACACTAATTTGGTGCTCCAGAATAGAAGTAAAGGTTGTGTTTACTCTAATCTATTTTATGTCCATTCAACTTCTAGATTTTAAATTTTAATTATTTGATATCTAAAAGTTAAGCTATAATTTACAGATCATTAACTGCAATCATATCTTCCATGTTACAATGGTAGATTTGTATTTCCACACTTGTTAATAGAGAAACCATAAACCAGCTGAATTGAATTGGATATGGAATCAACTTGAAATTAGAATGTTATTTTATTCAAATTGATATCCTATTGTACTGTATTTAACATCTTATTTTATAAAATTGAAATTTGAACTAAACTAGGATCAAGAAATTTAAGAACTGAGCCAGAAATTTGGGTTGAGCCTTTAGTTGCGTTCTAAATTCTACCAGTTGGCATTTTTCTTCCCCAACCTCCTCTGCTGTAGCCACAATATGGAGCGTTTTCTTTTTTAAGAAGTATGCAGTTTTGTTGATAGAAATTATCATTTAAGAGGAAGAATAAATATCCAAGTGAGAAAAAAGAATTTTTGTAGTATAAACTGAATGGTCCAATGTGGGTGGATAATGTTAAGTCCAATTTTCAGTGGAAAATCCATTTTTCAGTGCCAGAGTTTTATCAAGGATGTGCTTTTGTATGATTTCCAATTATAAGTTCTCTAATCTGTTAGCTTCTTCTATCGATGAAGTATGTAATCTGGGTTGTCAGTTGAGTAACTTCTGGCAGAATTTCTTTTTGGTTCTTATATTTATAACCATCCAGTGACTTGAATTTTGTTAGTTGACTAACATTAAGGTGTTTATTGAAGGATGGTATGCCCTGGTGAAGGTCTACCTCCCGAACTGGTTCAAGATATGTTCCATAGCAATCAGTGGATGACTCAGGAGGGTTTAGGGCTCAGCATGTGCAGGAAGATTCTAAAGCTAATGAATGGTGAAGTACAGTATATCAGAGAATCAGAACGATGCTATTTCTTAATTATTCTTGAACTTCCAATGCCCCGAAGAGGTTCAAAGAGTGTTGGCTAGGTTATTTACTCTTGACATGCATCAAGCCTCAGGCCTCTCTTGAACTCAACTCAACCTAAAGATACAACTTCTGGTGTATATAATCTCAGTATGGTACATGGCTTTCTATCAAAGCCTCCTTATTTGGCTAATGGATATCTAATAATACTAGAATTTCAGTATACACCCTGTAGGGGGAGTAGGAGGCATCTCATTAGTTTCTAGCTTGAGTGTAGTTATATTCTATTGTGATTATAGTGATGCCAGATTTAATGCAATCTCGTTCTGCCAATTGCGATTTGAGAAGGAGCATTTCAGTTGGAAATGCTGTAAAGTGGCGGCTGTCGTGGAGTCGAGGTTCCTCCCAGTGTAAGAGAATATAGTGTTAGTATATCATGTGTACTATATCCCATTGAGTTTCTAAATAATTAAGATATATATTCACCTTCATTTGACTGATGAAGTTAGCTTTTTTATTCTTATCGTCTGTATATAATAAATTAAATTGTTCACCTCTATATGTCGAAATGTATGGAAAATGAGCCTTCTGATAAATCTGATTAGTTTATATGCTTTTTCCCTTTTCAAATGGCGAGAAATATTGTGTGTCTAATCACTCGCTGGTCTCATGAATTTATAATTCTTGAGTTTGAAAAATATGTGGATTGGTTGGATTTGAATTGGATAGTTGAGAATTACTTTTCTAATGATAAACTGTTGCTTACCATTCAGTTCTTTAAGTTCTTAGTGTGAATCATATGACAAGGATGTTGAAGGAAATCATCTTCTTGGAGGTATATATGGAGTCACCAACTTTTTTCTTTTGGATTCTTGTTGATTTGGTTGCAAACAAAGTTTCGATCATTCCGATATATTCACTGTTGGAATTAGTAAAAATAGATCTTGACCATAATTTAATGGCAGATTAGGATTGATTATAAAAGCAGATAAGGATATGATAGCTCAGCATATATATGTATATATATTCGTTTGATCCCTTGTGATTTTGGTAGATAGAGAGTTAGCTTTTTACTTCCAGCCTTGTTATACATGATCCTTGGGGGTCACCAAGGAGAAAATTTCTATAGTTTTAGACCCACCACCGATGACTGCCTAATACTGATAATACTCTTTTATAAACTCTCAATTTCTTGCAGCACAGTGCTGCTGGAACATAATGGTGTTTGATTATTACCTCTTATCAGCACTTCTGGATTATTCATGCATTGGAAGAGAAGAAAAGGGTAAGAGCTACTGGCAGTAGTTTCCTGGAAACCGAGTTTTTTTTTTTTTTTTTTTTTCGTGTAGCTCTTAGAGGTTTTAACTGTTGTCGAGTAAGTTATAAATTCACCAATAATTTTTTCGATTAAATGATTTATCATTTTATTCTTATAAAAGATTATAGATTTGAATCGAAATGTGTCTTTCTTAAATATTATAATTGGTTGTATATGTATCACCTCAATACATATATATATATATTATATGTTTGACACAATAAACTGAGTGTAGTTTTTTTACATAAACACCCAATGCACGCCTGAGCATATGTTATTTTGATAGAATGGACTTATATATTAAGTAGAACTTATAAAGGCCTATTCTTTCCTAATCAAGAATTGGCAGCCCGATGTGGGAAAAGTCCCCTAAAACCCAGTTGCCCAAGTGATTGAAGAAGATTCTAAGGTTAACTTGCTAGGTCAAATCAGAATCATTTTACAAAAAAAAAAAAAAAAAAAATCAGAAATTAATTTGTTAGTATTATTCAAATATTATAAATTCAAATTTTTTAAAATATTAAATTTATTATTCCCAAAATTTAATTTATTAGTGTGTTGACAGAATTATAATAATCAAATTAAGTTCGACGAAAATAATATTTTAACGATACTTAATTTATTAAAAATATAAAATTTATTATTATAATATAGATGTATTATGAATTATTTAGTAAATTTATAATATTTAATTTAATAAAATTAAAATTTTAATTCATTAAAGTATTTTTTTTTTTAAAGTAATTTGTTATTAAGTGGGTAAATGTAATTATAATTCAAGAAAAATTATGAAGAATATATTGATGGTAGTGAGAGTGTGTGCGGGCACGGCCTTTAATCCTGCTGTACACGCAAACAACAAAAGTAAAGGAAAATAATTAAAAATATAATTCTTTTTATAAATTACCAATTTCTCAATTTATATATATATATATATATACACTAATATTATATTTTAAACGCATATAATTTATCCCATTACAAATCAGAGTTGACTTTTTAAAATTTTATTTTGGATTATGCTTCATGATATTATAGTAAATTAGCCAAATATGGAAGTTGCGTGTATATATATATATATATGTAAGTGTATTTTGTAGCAAAGTTTATAATCCCATTATGTGATATAATTCGTTATAGACATTACATAAAAAGTAAAATTTATAATTTGGATAATTTAGAAACCCTTAATTTATTTAACTTTCTAAAATACTAATTTGACCTTTTATGAAATTCAATATCATGCATTTGAATTTCCAAAAAAATGTACCTGTGCACGTATTTTCATGCAATGATTAGAAATTTATTATTTTTTTTCATAAATAATATAACATTTGTTCATTGTGAAATTAAAATATCCATTATTAAAATTAAATTTATTAATTAAAGTATAAATTTATTTTTTTTAAAAAAATTAAAAATTATATAAGATTTGCATGGAGTGGAATGCGTCATAAAGAGGAGTGAAGAAATGAACTAAGGAGCGGCCCAATAAGCCAGCCTTTACGTGCAAACGCGCCACCTTGCTGTCCTGTATCGCGTCTGCAAACGCGCCGGTCCCATTGGTCTGGCGGGAGAAAAATCAATCGTCATCATGTGGTAAGAGTGGGCACTTGCCATTTGGGCGCGTGGTCTAATAATTCCGGTCCATTCTATATAAATAACATCTGGTCTAAATAGTTAGATTCAGATGATAATGATGAGATAGGAGAAAGGAAGGAAGGAAGAAAGAAAGAAAGAGAAACCAAGAAAAAGGAAATAAGAATTCTTCCCTGGATTTTTCTTTTTTAAATCTTGGTTTTTGCAGGGTCAATTAATTCTCTCTTTACTTTTTATGAGGTGGGTTTTTGGTTATTTTCCTGTTTTGAGTGCTTTTTCTATTTTTCTCTCTTTCAGAAGGACGGAGTGAAAGTCAGAGACGCTCATAAATCTTCTCCTAACTTATCAGTTTCGACCATTTTCAAGCTTTTCAGCCCACGTTCAAACGTAGCAGAGAGCTCGGCGAAGAGGATTAACAGCACGGATCATTATCATCTTATGTTTGATTCAGCTTTCTCGAGTGGAAACTATTTGTTTTCTAGCAGTTTGGCTTCATATTGGGGATGGAAACGCCACCAGCAGAGGAGCTGTTGAAGAAGATCCAGGAGCTGGAGGCGGGTCAAGCGCATCTTAAGCAAGAGATGTCTAGGCTCAGGCTATCCTCCGCCGATCATCCCCAGAGGTCGCATTCGGTTTCGCCGCAAAGGTCGACGACGTTGACGGCGAGGCCGAGGAGGAGAGGCCCCGGTGCTGGCGGAGGTTCGGGATTCGACGGAGCTGCTGCGGCGTGGAAGAAAGGTTCGGGGTCGTTTCGGCATTCTTCGCCGCTGCAGAGAGAGAGCAGGAGCTCTGGTACTGTGAATGCTGGAGCGGGAGCAAGTGGTGGTGGCGGCGGTGGGAGACCGTCGGCAGTGAATTTCACAGAGAAGCAGTGTTTGAATATATTGCAGTCTATGGGCCAGTCTGTCCATATATTTGACTTTAATGGCCGTATAATCTACTGGTTAGTAGCTTTGTTTTGAAGCCTCCTTTGCCGATTCTTTTTTCTTACATTTTGGGTCCATTTCTTCAACAAGTTACAGTAAGGATTGTTCTTCTTGAATAATTTTCTTTCCTTTTTTTCCATGGTTGCCAAAGCTTAATTTCTTGAAGAATGTTGCTTCTGGGATTGAGATTGAATTAAGGCTTGTGGTTCTGAATTTGGTTGTTTCAAATAAAAGAACTCTTTGTTTGAAAGTTGTTCTCTGAATCAGCAATGGAAGTAATTCATGTGACAAATAGAACTTTTATGTTGTTTATGGAAACTTTGAAATAGATTTTCTTGGACTATTATTTGAACTCTCCGTCTGGGGATGCTTCCGATTTTGCAGGAATCGCACTGCTGAAAACCTCTATGGTTATTCTGCCGCAGAAGCACTTGGGCAGGATGCTGTTGAGATTCTTGTAGATCCCCGGGACTTTCCCTTAGCACGCAATATAATCCACCGGGTTAGCATGGGGGAGAGATGGACGGGGGAATTCCCTGTCAAGAATAAGATGGGGGAGAAGTTTTCTGCCATTGCAACCAATACTCCGTTCTATGATGATGAGGGGACTTTAATAGGGATTATTTGTGTCTCAAATGATTCACGTCCCTTTAAAGAAATGAGGGTTGCATTGTCGAATCCAAGTCACTCAGAAGGGTCTTCAAGCTTTAACCGGGCCAGAAGCACAGTTACATCTAAACTTGGTCTTGATTCCCAGCAGCCTCTCCAAGTTGCAATTGCCTCAAAAATATCAAATTTGGTTAGTCTTGTGTAGTTTTGGCATTCTTGTAGAGTGTTATAGTTGGCATGTTTTAATTGTCTGTACTGCCATGACAGGCATCTAAGGTGAGCAACAAAGTCAAGTCAAGAATTCGAACTGGAGAAAATTTGATGGACCGTGAAGGTGGGAGTGGAGATTCCGATCATGGTTACTCCGATGCTGCTCTCTTTGATCAGAATAGGGAGGATGCTACATCAAGTGGAGCTAGCACACCCAGAGGAGATTTACCTGCATCTCCTTTTGGTGTATTTTCTCCTGCTGACGAGAAAACTCCTGTGAAATCCTCCGGAGAATCAGGTGAGGATTCTGAGGGAAAACCCACGATCCAAAAGATTATTACCTCGAAGGCAGAACAGTGGATGGGCAAGAAAGGTTTATCATGGCCATGGAAAGGGAATGAGCGGGAAGTACCAGAGGTAAAAACTGCTCGCTTTGTTTGGCCCTGGTTGCATAATGATCAAGAAAATGAATCAGTTCAGCAGAAGAATCCCTTCTCTGGTTCAAAGACTGAAAGCTATGCAAATGAAAGTACTAAGCCTGCCAATAATGAGGCCTCTGGGTCCTGGTCCTCCTCTGTTAACATTAACAGCACAAGCAGTGCCAGCAGCTGTGGAAGTACCAGCAGTAGTGCTATTAATAGAGTGGACATGGACACTGACTGCTTGGATTATGAAATCTTGTGGGAGGACTTGACTATTGGAGAACAAATTGGACAAGGTAACCACTTGAAGGGACAGTGATTTTTGTATTGTTCATGATGGTAATAGAACAAGCAAGTAATGAATAAAACTTTATCGCATACTTACAACTTACTAAAATGTGTATTCTCGGCATCATTACTGCAGGTTGATAGCTAGGGACACATAAAATTTCAGTTTCGTCATTTATGAAATTGCATTATATTAACTGCAAATTGTGTTGTTCCCATTGATTTTCTACATTAAGATTGCTCCATGAAAATGTTTCATGGTAATTTGCTTGATTATGTGTCAACTAATACTTATTATGCTTTTCTCCCCTCTGTTACTTCAGGTTCTTGTGGAACTGTATATCATGGTCTGTGGTTTGGATCAGTACGTTCTTTTCTCTTCCTTACCAATCTTTTTTTTTTTTTTTTTGAAATGCATAATTACAGCCCAGATGAATCTGACTTGGTATTCAAGAGAAGATCTCAAGTATTATATCTTGCTTTCAGTTAATTGTGAGGTTTGAATATCTATTGTTTTTGTATAGTATGAATAGAATGTGAGATTAATTGCTGGCATTTGATTCCGCAGTCCAAATGCTCATATACTATCTTACCAAATACATGTTATCTCCTTTTTCTCTGTTCTATAAGTATGTGGTGGAGTTCATATATGTTATTGGCTTCAGCTGAGACCTTTCTTCAGCCTTTAAACTTTTTTTGTCTAAAATGGAAAATATGACCCAGAATAAAAAATAACTAAAACTCGTCCATTGTGTTTCTCTCTGAAATTATATGTCATTTACTAATGGGATTACAATTATTCCAGGACGTTGCTGTTAAAGTATTCTCCAAACAAGAGTATTCAGATGATGTGATAGATTCCTTTCGACAAGAGGTGTGCTTTCTCATCTATATCACTATCTTACACTGTCTTTATAGCTTGCATAAGGTTCCCCC